CATTGATGATAACCGCCACTGCGCCTGCCTATTCGTGCACCTCTCACGCACAAACACACACAAACACGTGCGTCTGAATTGATATGAAACATGCGGCTGGTGATTATTGATTGATCGGAGGATCCATCCACATGATTTATTTCGAGAAACTTTTACTTTGTTTTAATATTTGTTTGCGCGATGTTTACTCTCCAAAAAACATTTTATTCATTTATATTTTGCTCGCTATTTCATTCAATCTCGCAAATTCTTGTTTCATTCATCCATTCATCCATACATCCATTCATTTTTTCATTCAATCCATCTTTTCATTTATTCATGCATCCATGCATCCATCCATGCATCCATTCATGCATCCATCCATGCATCCATCCATGCATCCATCCATGCATCCATCCATGCATTCATTCATCCATCCATCCATTCATGCATTCATTCATCCATCCATCCATCCATTCATCAATTCATTCATTCATTCATTGGTTCGTTCGTTCGTTCGTTCGTTCGTTCATTCGTTCGTTCATTCGTTCGTTCGTTCATTCATTCATTCATTCATTCATTCATTCATTCATTCATTCATTTATTCATTCATTCATTCATTCATTCCTTTTTTCGTTTTTTGTTCCGTTAGATCCATCTAAATTAATCTGCAAGACAGTGATAAAGAGGGCGATGGTGATGATAATGATGCTGAGAAAGATGGTGATGATGATGATGATCATGGAAGAAGAAAGGACGAGTCACGTGATGGTGATGTCGTTGCAGATGATGAAGGTGACAGTGATGATGATGACGAAGATAATGATGGAGATGAGAATGAGGAAGAAGAAGATGATGATGATGATGACAGTTTTCATAATGAACATGACCTTCACATTGGTTCACTCGGATCTCGTGACCAGCTCCTATGACGTCACAATTCTATGCGATGGTCTTCAACTGGATACAACAGGTTTGTTTTCATTTTTTTGTTTATTTCTTGTTTCAAGTTGATGTTTTGCAGCAAGTCATTATGCCGCATGCGTTGGTTTATGATATTTATTTGCTAATGTTTGATGTTTGATTGTATTTGCATTTACAATTGAGAGTTTATTAAAATTTGATGAAATATTGTTTAATTATTCGTTCGTTGCATTTTGCTTCATTCTGTTTGACCGCCTGTTTTAACGGCAACCACTTAACGGGCAGTTAGTTGCCTGCTTTCACATTCATGTGTACAATGCTCATTAGCTGAAACGAAATGTTCACGTTCCATGCTACTTGCCTATGATGCAAGTCTAAACACCCAAGAAACTTTCTAAGCAAGTTTTATTTTTACGATTTTCAACAAATAAATTTAAAACATTACATTGTATTGTTTTAATTAAAATATCAAAGCCATTAAAAAACTAATACGATGTAAGCAATAAGCATATATGCCCTGTCAGTCAGTCAGACACACACACACACACACACACAAACACACACAAACACACACACACACTAACAAAAACACATACACGCATTTCAGAACGATTTATGTCTGCTGTTCGATCCCTTAAAATTTCAAATGCATGATTTCGTTAAAAATGTGTTATATGTTGGTCCCAGATGGAGGATGTTGCTGATATTGTTATGTCATTCCTCCTAAACGTACATTTATTGTATGTGTGTTTGTATGCACGTATCTATGTTTGTATTCACACGTGTATGTATTTAATGTATGTAGGTATTTATTTACGTGTATAATGTACAATATAAACGTTTTACGTATAAACTTTTTCACGGTTTGATGTGTGTGCGTGGTGTATGTGTGGTGCATGTGTGGTGTGTGTGTGTGTCTGTTAGTGTGTGTGTGTGGTGTAAAGTTAAGCCCTATGTATGAGTGGATGGACATGAATGTGTATGAGTGAGTGTGAACATATAATGAACTTTTTACAGTAAACATTTCATATGTCAATAACATGCTAAATTCTAAGTTGTTTGCTTTAATTGAATCGTACGTACATTAAGTTTAATTACATGCAAACGTTCTGCCTAGCAAATTGAACATTCGTTTCTATATTTATCTACCAATATCTTTACTGGTAGCTGAATATTTATCTAATTGTCTTTAAAATGTAAATGTGCTTATATTTGTGTGATGTGTGTGCGCGTGCATGAGTCATCATCATTGACATATTTTTTTCAATTTACTTTGTACAATTAAGTTCTGTTAGTATGGTTCATTTTAGTTAAGGCACTACTACAAGTATATGCACTTTTTTGTGCTTTGTTCAAATAAAATAAAGTAAAATTAAGCTAAACCCCGACAAAAAAGAATTAATTAAGTTATGATCTAGAAAACTGTCAGTGCCTGCTAACACGCATTTGAGGCGTCCTAGCAAGTTGTACGTAACAGATAGAGAAAAAGATCTAGAGGCGCAAACCAAGTACAGGCAGTAAAATTTGCTAATTTGGAACTTCTTGTTTTCCACAGCTGCAAAATTAAAAATTACAAAAAATTTTTTTCCAGCTGACGTTTTTATAAATTCGGTAGGATCATTGGTATACCGAGGTTGCGTTATTGTAACTTGGCAGTGGTGCCGAGCTGATCAGAAAGGTCAGCAGCAAGATCGTTTGTTGTTGGGTTGGAGAGACGAATTCTTGAGAAGCATCGGTGGTTGGAAAGTCTCCATCAGATGTTGCATTCACGGTGTTGGACTAGTTTATTTGGAAGAAATGTTTCCTGGGAAGTCAGAGATCAATTATTTTCGGTTTCCTGAGAATTGATGTCACTTCCTACCTATAGTAAGGACAAAGATTGGTGATGTATGTAGAATTAGAAATGATCTTCCATTATGCTTGAAACATTCTGTTTATCTGTTCATCTGAAAATATCCTGTAAAAACTGAAAACGTTCAAGAAAATATGTAATAAGTAAAATCAGTTCTCAGTTGAATGTGAATGAAGGAAAAATAATAATAAACGTCTTCATTTGTGTTGGGAATGAAATGTCTGTTTACAAGTTTTTATTTTTAACGTTATTATAAAATATACAAATACTTTTATGATGTTTATCAGTCCATGTGACATGCTTTCGAATTTTAATGCAAAATAAAAACGAAACTCTTGAAATCTTGTAATCATTTTTGTAAGCAAAAGGGAGGAATGAAGGCAGGAAAAAAGAAGAGAGTATGGCCCAAACCTGGTTGCCTCATTTCATTATTTATAATTCACGATCGCTGCATGTTGGCGTCTCCTTTTATTACAGAACATTTTAATAATTCATTTTTTCATTTTTCTTAATCAAAATCATTTTTTCAGCTGTTTCTGCCTAATAAAATATTCACGAAAAAGCATTTTGCAGACGACTCAATGGAAAAGTAATAATATAAAAATTATTTTATTAAAAAAAAATTCAACGGCGTTTCGCGCGCAAGAGTGCGATGGCGGACCAAATATTAAATCATTAAGCGCTTAACCTCTGAAAGTATTCACAAATCTTCCTCTTTGCTTTTTGATTATATATAATGAAAATTAATTCTAAAAAACGAAATTTATTTAACGGCTCTAATTAATTTTTATTTTATTACTTTCGAATAAACTGGTCTCGAAAGCTATTATTTAGTAAATAAAAATATTTACTGAGACAGAGAGTTTCATGTGCAAAAAACAAAAAAAAAGATTAAAATCATTTCATTTTATTCTCCAGACTACAGAAGAATTATTTATTATTAATTAATTTATTTATTTATTTACTTTATTATTTATTTATTTTATTATCTATTTACTTATTTTTATTGCTGATCTGCTTAACTTTGATGCACCGACGAAGACACAGACACAGTATGATTGGGTGAGTCGCTCAGGTATAATTGGTAACCAAAACGATTCACTCTACACATACACAGCACACATATACATACCCACACGTACACACACACACACACAAACATACAGATACACGTACATAACGAATTACGATGTTCATGTGGTCACATTCATGTCTGTTATTTTGCCAGCATCATATACTTATCTAACTATCATTTTTTTCAACTGCATTCTTTTTTTCGTGAAGAAATTGCGGAGTAATTTTTAAATTTTTTGCTTCTAATCACATTATGGAGAGGAAACTAATGAAATCTCCGGGGTGTTCAGTGTATATATTCTCTTTTGTTTCTTACTTTCAAAATTAAATTAAATCACGTTATATCACATTGCATGGGAGTTGAATATATCACATTGCGTGGGAATTGGATCTTGTGTTGGGAGTTTAAACACACTCTCTTTTTATAAAGCAAGTTGACTGGTGGATTTATTAATTAAATTCGTTTACGGTTTCATTCATGCGATTGATTCGCTCTTCAAACGACCGTCGTTAAGCCATTTCATCACCTTGTTTCATGTTTATCTCCATCTCGTGGTCTTCGTTCCACACAATCTCATGTGTTATATGTGATTGAATGTTCATGTTATCACGAGCTTACCCTTCCATGCGGTCACACTTCCATTTGTTTACATGAAACAAATTTATTTATGTGTTCTTTTTCAAATTTGTTTGCAAAAGTGTCACTGGATCGAATGAAGAGAGCACGGTGATGACGTCATGCGAACATTTGAACAATGGCTTTCATAAAATATCAAGACCATTTTTAATCCACCGTCCATTTGAGTGCACTTGTAAAGCAAAGCATGCGTAAATGTTTGTATGTACTTTAATATGTTTGTATGTATGTGTGTATGTATGTATGTATGTATGTATGTGTGTGTGTGTGTGTATGTATGTATGTATGTATGTATGTATGTATGTATGTATGTGTGTGTGTGTGTGTGTGTGTGTGTGTGTGTGTGTGTGTGTGTGTGTGTATGTATGTATGTATGTATGTATGTATGTATGTATGTATGTATGTATGTATGTATGTATGTATGTATGTATGTATGTATGTATGTATGTATGTATGTATGTATGTATGTATGTATGAAACCCGTTTTGATGAACAAGCCATGGTTAGGCATGCAATCGTTTCCGAGTTCAACTTTTATCTATGTCCCTGGTCTCGCACAGTCAGGTATCTAGCAGCTCCATCCAGAATGCAGAAGGAATTAAATTTTTGTAATAAAAGTGAAAGAGTTTGTTTTAAATAATTGCCTTCGTTAGGATCACCCGTTATATTAACTATTTTTCTTGTTAATTCGTTAATAAATAATGACGTGTGCTTATCTGTTGGTCCGAACGTTTCAATGCAAATGGGTTGAAATATTTTGCTTAAATTGTTTAATGAAACGTATTTTTCATTTTTGAAATCGGACGCTTTAAGGGCAGCAGTGCCCGCCTCAACTGAAGTGTAGCCGATGTATCGGTCAGCCATAGTGTGGGGTATGGTAACGTCCCAAGCAAGGGACCGTCCCTGGGCCCATGGGGTGATAGTGTAACCATCAGGCCTAAAGGCTCCTTCCTCTATCAAACCCATGGGTTCTTTTATAACCGGGATACCAGCCTTTTGAAAACATCGTACCAGGTATTCGTTGACAGCCGTATGTCTGGCTTGTCTTCCTGGACCTAGGCGACAAGAAAGGCTATGGTATCCAAGTTCATCAACCCTTGCCCCACATGCGCATTCGTATTCGGTGACGATCTGGGCTCCAAGTCTCAAACCAAGGCTCACGCGAACACAGGAGTCATCCAATCTAGTGCCGCAGGAAGTGTTGGGTAGCGCTCTCAACCAGGCGGAGCCCAACTCACTTTTGACAGCCATAATTCTAGCCTTGTCAAAAGCAGAGCCATTCAATTGCAGCCATCGATCAACTGATCTATTAAGACAGGGGGCGATCCAGTGTTTTTGCGAGGGGTTTTCGAGCGCAACCACATCTCCGTTGGTGGCGCGCCACATGTCGTATACTTGCAATCTGAAGTTATCGACGTAAATCACATCCCCAGGCAACATCAGATCCTGGAGGGCCACCGTGGCAGCAGCAGAAGCCAAAAAGGCAGAAGGTGCCAGCTCAGCCGCGGAACCCAAACCCAGGCCACCAACACATATAGGCAGCGTCCCCTGTAACCAATTTTTTTGATCGAGTTTTATGTTGAAGATGGACTGGAATGCGTCACGGAGGTGATCGTCGAAACTATTGAGGATCGAAACATCCAACAGAGGGGATGTTCTCAAAAAATAAACAAGACGAGGCAAAAAAGCAGCTTGTAATAGAAGGACCATTGCATCATGTTTATTGATGATATTTAGCCTTTGGGTGATAAGTTTAAAATTTTCAAATTGTATGTATGTATGTATGTATGTATGTATGTATGTATGTATGTATGTATGTATGTATGTATGTATGTATGTATGTATGTATGTATGTATGTATGTATGTATGTATGTATGTATGTATGTATGTATGTATGTATGTATGTATGTATGTATGTATGTATGTATGTATGTATGTATGTATGTATGTATGTATGTATGTATGTATGTATGTATGTATGTATGTATGTATGTTAAAACCAAAACATGATGGGTGACACTGAACCGTCAAACATCAAGTAACAAATGGATTAACACTTTGATTTGTCGTTAATTGCACATGTCGGCATTCAGTTGGATATTTTCAAGCACACAGAAACGCAGGAACCGCTGCAACAAGCACGAAATGTGGTTAGTTGCGAAAAACAGTTCCCTGCTGCCGCCTGATCTGACGCTGATCATTTTACATATTGCCTTAAGAAATTTAAGGGTGTTGGGGTCCATCGGGCCGAGAACCTCGATACATATTGGCAAGAATTCCATCGAGGGGAGGGCGTTCCCATATTTTTTCATTTTCATTTTTTCAGAGTATGTATGTGTGTATGTATGTATGTATGTATGTATGTATTTATGTATGTGTGTGTGTGTGTGTGTGTTAGTTTTTGTATTTATTCAAGTCTGTTTATACCAAATGTTTACACGAGTGAATATGTTTTTGTAAATTTTGTAAATGAGTTGTTGCGTTTTTGTATGCATTTGCATGATGTGTGTGTGTGTGTGTGTGTGTGTGTGTGTGGTGTGTGCTATTATGCCTGCCTACACACATGTTTTTAAACTGAAGACATGTAAGCAGTGTGCATGCAGGCCCAGAGACACACATGCATCATTCATTCATCTTTTTCTTTCATGCTAATGTTCTTCAAGTTTTTTTGATTGGATGTTTATTACAATGTACATGAATGTGTGTACATTGTGTACATGTAGTTGTGTTGTGTGTGCAGTGTGCTTGCTGGTCGCAGGTTTGCCAACATGTGTACACTGTATTGTACGCACATTTATTTGTTTTTACTTTTCAAATTACAAGGAAACTGCACTGTATGCATGCATGGAAAGAATGGAGATATGAGTGCTGAGGTGGGGGCGTTGTGAAAATTCGGTGTAGGAGGCATGTTGGGTGGGTGCAGGAGCAGGAGGGGGGTGTGATTGGAGGGGTAGTGGATGTGAAAAAGATAGACTAAATGGTAATGAAAAAAATGATACTGATGTGATGATTTTGTGTTCAAAAATTATGAAAATTGTAAAAATGGGGAAAAGGGAAGGGTAGGGGGGATGCGGGGATGAGTTAAAACAATAGGGGTGGGAATTTTCGGGAACGTTGTCCTAGATGGGAATTCGCAAAGAGTCGGGAATGAGAAAAAATGGCAGGAATTTGGGGTCACATCTACATTGGAGCAGTTATGAAACAAACAGACGACAACATTTTCATCACTTTTCTTCACCCACCATCATCATCATCACCTCATTACTAAACATCATAATCACCAATTTCATATTTGCGACATCATCATCAGCACCACTTCTACCACCCTCAACATCACCATTATCATCATCACCATCAACAACATTATCGCTAACATTTTTGTCATGACCAACATCATCATCATCATTACTCCATCAACATCATCATCATTAATCCATCAACCCCATCATCATCTTCACTCCATCAACACCATTATCATCTTCACTCCATCAACACTATCATCATCATCACCATAATGACATCATCATCATCATCATATCCTTCATGCAAAGGAACATCATAATCCTCACCACATCATCATCATCTTCATCATCCTCGTCGCATCGACACCATCATCATCATTCTTGACATGAACATTGTTGTCATCATAATCTTCTTTTGTTATCTGCCTGCCTAACTTAAAGTCCTCTTTTATGCTTAAATAAATTGTTCAGAAAAAAAATGTGGGCGTCCAAGCGTTGATGATGTCGTTGTTGTGTTGTCGTTGTTGTGTTGTTGTTGCGTCGTTGTTGTTGTTGTTGTGTTGTTGTTGATGTTGTTATTGTTGTGCTGTGTCGTTGTTGTGTTGTTGTTGCGTCGTTGTTGTGTTGTTGATGTTGTAATTGTTGTGCTGTGTAATTGTTTTTGTGTTGTTGTTGGTGGTGTTGTTGTTTCGTTGTTGTTGTTGTTGTTGTGTTGTTGATGTTGTTATTGTTGTGTTGTTTTATTGTTGTTGTGTTGTTGTTTCTTTGTTGTTGTTGTGTCGTTGTTGTTTTTGTTGTGTTGTTGATGTTGTTAGTGTTGTTCTGTGTTATTGTATTTGTGTTGTTGTTGTGTCGTTGTTGATGTTGTGTTGTTGTTGTGTTGTTGTTGTTGTTGTGTTGTAGTTGTGTTGTAGTTGTTGTTGTTGTTGTGTTGTATATGTTGCTGTTGATGTCGTTGTTGTGTTGTTGTTTTTATTGTTGTGTTTTTGTTGGTGTTGTTATTTTTGTGTTGTTGTTGTGTTATTGTTGTTATTGTTGTGTTATTGTTGTATACAATGATGCGGTTATATTGTCGTTTTGAGTTCCATCTTTACATTGTGACGTTGACAATGTGTTGTTGTTGTTGGTGCTGTTGTTGTTGTGTTTGATGTTACTATCATACTACATTGTTGTAACGCGCCAACACACAGGCACACGTACCCACACAGGTGCCAACAAACACACCGACATACACTCATCAACACACACGCACACCAACACACGCGCACATTTGAGTACAACTTTTCGTACACAAAAAACGACCGAACGTACACTTACTTTTACAATCCAGTACAAACAAACATTAATAAACAACTACGTAAATACCAAATACCTGTAAATATACAAATCTCCGAGCAAGCTGATACATGAGAACTTAACCATCAACGTACCGTATATACATGTATATACATTTTCATACCGTACACAGTATATACATTTTCACACTGCATACCTGCACACTCGCATACACACACAGGCAAAGACAACCATACAAATTTAGCTACAAACAAGTTATAACGCACACACATCACGTTCCTGGTACATGGAGTGTGTCCCTAACAAGCATTTAAACGATTTGTACCTTGAAATGCAAACAGACAGTCAACACCAACTCAGCACAGCAAGCAGTCCACAAGAACATTTTAATCTTCTTGTTACATGAAGGCGAGCAGCCCTGGCGACTTGGATATAAACATACACACACACGTATCACACACACATACACACACACACACACGCACGCACATACACATACACATTTCCGACACATTTCTTCATTTTGTTTCATCATTATTATCGTCATCGAAATGAAACTTACATCAACCACCATTACGTTATTATTACTATGGCAGCAATTGCAACATTTACAACTTCTTCTTCGACAACACTAACCACAACTACAACATTAACAGAACCAACAACAAAATCCCCCTGAACAAATCATTCCCAAAAACCAATTGCACAAACAAATGTTAGGAGAAAATCAATTAACTTTTTTTTCACTATCATCACAATCATTCTTATCGCCATCATCATATCATTCTTATACTATTTATTTTCATCATCATCACCCACACCAACCACACATTCACCACACCAACCACACACACTCCAATCACACATCCACCACCGACACGACCCACACCATAACTACCACCACCCCTCCACATTTCACTCCCATTCTTCCCACCACAGCACCGCCTCTACAATCGTCGGCCATTAAATCATACTTGGCAGTCGAAATTGTACTAAGTACCTTTCAAGCAGAACATCAATATGCCTGTCACGCAGATTGCAGATTTGTAAAGGATCATTATGAGACTGGTCTCAGAGATGAGGACGAGACGACGACGATGATGATGACGATGACGACGATGATGATGAGGATGATGATGAGGATGATGATGATTATGGCGATGATGATGATGATGACGACGATGATGATGATGATGAGGATGAGAATGAGGAGGAGGATGATGATGATTATGATTATCCTAATTATGATATATGGTGATGATGGTGGTGATGACGGCATAAAGAAGTGAACAAATAAAAAAATGATGATAACGGTAATAATGATGAAAGGGATAGTGGCTGTGGCCACGACGCTAGCTGCTGACGATTGTGAAGAGGCTCTTGATAGCGGCTAACCAAGCAAAGTAAAGGACGCCAATGACGAAAATAAGTGACTTTTTCACAATGGTAAAATGATTAATGATAACACTAATAACAACATCGACAATTTATAATAACAATAACAATAATGCAAGGTAACACTTGAAGTCAAACTGCTGACTAATCCCAGCACTGAGATTGAAACTGCACGAACAAACTACTTTCCTTGCCGTTAAAACATATTGTTCGCTTCACTTGAAACCCAAAATTATTTCGCAGTAACAAAATTTGTGAGATGAAGTAAAACATCTGCAAAACAAGTTCGGAAATTTTTGCATGATTCGATGGATTGAAATGTTGAAAACTTGTCCAAAGTCTGAAAGTACAAATTGGCTGTTTTCTATTCATGGATAGATTTTTTTAAATTGAAATTCTTTGGAAATGATCAGACACTCAGATTAAATTAAGCATTAAACAACTTACCTTCAAGTAATAAATTTAATTTAAATCTGTTCCTCAGCTGACCCTGCAGGTCATGTTTATTGGGGGGGGGGGTAGGCGGTGCAGACCTCACCTGAAGATGTCAACAGAGACCACGGTGTGAGAAGCTACTTATTTTGAATGGTCTGTCGGAGTTCGTGAAGTGCAGTATGTAGAGTATGTCACAATTAAACCACAATTACACGCGGAGGAACATTATTGGTCAAAAGCCTGATGTAATTCTGCACATAAATGTGCTATCCTACTGATATCATAACTTTAATTGATGTGATCATAACAAAAAGAAAATTGAATAAAATCGAAGCAGAATAATCTGAATATTAAAAAAAAGACGTGAAACACCAAAACAGCATTGTCTTCAATCTCAATAGATTTGTTACCAGACAATTTAATTTTATTTTTAATTTTTTAAAACGGCACTTGACCTCTCACTAATAAAGAGGTACGATGTGCCACAAATACATGTTTGACTACTTTCATCATCTTCCACTCCATCTTTCTTAAACTTTTAGTCCGGTTTCCTTTCAACCTGCACTCATGAATATCCACTAAATTTTTGCTTAATTTTTATTTACCAAGAATATTTCAAATTTGGTCGTAATATTTCACTTTTTATTATTGCCATTATATTTTTTTGGTCTATAAATTACCAACTAAGTTCTCTGATAACGGGTAATGCAGTCTCTTGAACTTGGTTAAATCTCGTTCGAAATTACGTCCTACTATTGGTACATTGACAAACTGGTACTTCAGCTTTAATTTCCATTTACAATTCACGTAAAATTTTAAATCAACTTGGCCGAAAGTCAGACCGTGTAAATAAATAATTTATTTCTTTTTTGTAGTGTGTTTGATGTAATGAAGGAATGATATGTTAAATCCAATTCATCTTCATCATATTGTCTTCGTATTTTTAATAA